ACTTATCCTTCCCTCCCAATCATTAATAAAAACCCTCAATTTGGGGAGTTTCTGTAACATCATCAGCCTTAACACACACAAACCTATCTAGTCAATTATTATTTGATTTATTATAATACATATTGCCAATTACTTTTGCTATAGTTCTTGTTTTGTACATTTTCCTTTACTTTTTTAACTTAATCATACTTAGTTTCTACCTGCACTACATAAAAATAAGGCTTGTAGAAACCTAAATGTTCTTACTACCACAAATGAGTTTAGCAAGAAATTTTTAAAAATCTATGATTTTAGTGGCAAATACAAGTTTAATTATAAATTGTTATATCGTTATATGTATGTATATAAACTGCAATAATAAATAATGGTCTTTTAAAAGGTAAAGTGTTCATCGTGTTCATTTTATTCATCTATTTTTTCTATGATAAAAATAAACATCATTTAAATGCTTACCTTAATATCTTGAGAATCTTTTCTAAATACTTAACATCAGTGCATTTTTCAATGAATTTGTAGTCCAGATGATCAATAGGAATTTGATATGTTCTTGTCGTTTCATGGCTGAACCAGGATGACATTTGACCAGCACTTATAGCTACAAAGATAAAATTTAAGTATCTCCAATATAGTTTCTCAAAATTATTTATGAAACTGCCCAAGTTATAAAATAAAATGCTATAAACACAGTCAGATTTTTTTGGAAACTATTTTCAAATATAGAAGAAAGATGTCCATCTCAACCTTAATTTGGATCTGGATCAATTTACAACACCTGTATAATAACCCTTGGCATATGTAATTTCATCTAAATTTGAGATCATATTCTTGATTGTCTCACTGCTATATAGATGTGATTAATCATCAATAACTATTTACCCAGTCAAGGAAAACAGGTGATACTGCCCCATAATCCATTCTAAATATTTTCTACTACTCCCAAATTATTCCCAGGTTTTGTTCTGGGCACGCTGCCAAGCAAAACTGCATATTTTATTCAAATATTTTCAAAGAAGCCTATGTGGCTCTTAATGATACTGTAATAAACAGAATACCAATTCCAGGTTCTTTTGCTTCATAGTATGTTTTTTCATTTCTTTTTAATTAAAACAAAATTTAAATAAAATAATATGAGCAGGAAAAGAGAACACAGAGACACAAGACAAAATACTTTCAGATTTTCCCCATGGACCTCTTTTATACCTGCTTTTATTTGAAGTCACTCATATGGAACCATTTCTGTGACTAGAGCTATATTGATTTATGCTCAGCACTTAATAGAAGAATTCACACACACACACCCAAAACCAAGTAGAATGATAGATTATTTCTTACCAACTTGCCTCACTATTTCAAAGAAGCCAGAATTAAATCAGGATATACTGTACTCTATTAAGGTAATATATTAAAAGATTCTATGTTGATGCTAATAAACCGACTCTGATAGAATTCAACATAGCATGTTAGATTTTATTCAAAAATAGACAATTAACTCTTGATGATATTGTTTTTTTTTCCTGAATCTCCTAAACCTGATCTGAAGGGTCACTAAATCTTCTTGAGTAGATTTATGAATGATCAGAAAAGAAATCTGTTATATTGGCAACATCATACCTTTTCCAGATCATATTATACATGCTGTACAGATTTCATCTTATATAATGACATATATTTAATAATTTTATCAAACAATTATTTTAATACTATTCTGCCTTAAACTAAGCCCAAGAGACATTATCAAAGAAAAAATTGAGAGTGAAAAATGGCCTTTTAAAATCATTTTTGCTATTTACAGATAAGTAGAGTAGCTATTATAATGAGCAACATGTTGAATTTTAGGAGCTATGTAGCTTATTTTAATGTTGTTATTCTGCAAAATGTAGAGTGTTAAAAAGATCCAGTTGCTCTTTGGAATTTTGTCTTTGACTGAATGTAAGTTATTCATGCCTTTCTATTTGCCTGAAGAAAAAAATACTTTCCTTTTGCCCAAAGAAAAAAATCTTTGCAGAGATTTTTTACCCATAAGATAATTGCTCAGGTTTAATGGTGCACAAAAAATAAATTGTTTTAGGTTTTTATTATTTAAAGAAATGAAGAGAAAAGAAGTGTGTGTATAATTCTCATATAGCAAATACATTATGTTGAATGTATCATCAGTGTTCATGTTTCTAATTTTAATTGCATTGAGTAAAGTGGTACAATTAGAAGTCTTTTTTCTTTGCCTACGCAGCTGATTTAATTAAAAGGAGTGCTAATTCCTAGAATACATCTTTGTATATAATCCTATACATTTTGTGGCAGAACATCATGTTACAGTAGTTTTTGCCATATTAGGCAAACATACTTATTCCTCTGTAAACAAGTATTTTCTGCTACAAATTTTTAAGTTTTGTAAATGGCTACCTTGGAAATTATTTTTGGTTTTCTTTGAAATTACAGTAAAACAGATGATAAAGTACATATATATATATATATATATACTGGCCCAAAACATACCCTTCAGTCAAAAAGCAGCTAAATTGTTTCATTACAAAATGACACAATAAAGAATTAATTGGAAACCAGTGAGATCTCTTCTTTGGAATCAACCAATTTTAAAATTCAGATTTCATGGATCTTGCTGGAATTCATTCTTCTATACAATGATTTACTCAGTTTTATTTTTTTGTGAGTGAACTCTAAAGACACACAAAGAAAACAGGAGAAATGTATGAAGAATAGGAGCAAAACACCATTTTTTGTTAGGAAGGCAGTTCTTATAAATGCCCTCTGTCGTTCAAAAATAATACAGCATCCTTTTTTCAAACAATTAGCAACTGTTGCTATGTACTAAACTGAAAAATATGGCTTCCTAGGCTTTTGCAGCTTCAGTGTATCCGTGAACCTACTCCACTATTTCATAAAATGTGGATCTAAGATGCTTAGGGGTTCATCAAGATTGTAAAATTGAAATGATTTTCCAAAATGTAAATCCTATAAAACTACTATATTAAAATCCCATCAAATAATGTCAATTTTAATATGATATTGATAACATAACCCATATAAGCAAAAGTTTGTTGTAGGCCCTTCATCATTTTTAAAGTGGAAAAGTTCTGAGTAAACAAAAGATTAAGTAATGCTGATCTAACTTGTCAAAGCTGCATTCCTTTATTTGAGAGTGAATTCAGAAAATAAACTGATTTGGTACATAACAGGAGAATCACTTTTCTCCTGTGAAAGACTAAAATAGGTAGGAATCTGTCTAAAGCTGTATCTTTTTAAATTGGGCAACTTTAAGATGGATGGACTTCAACTCCCAGAATTCCCCAGCTAGCACTGCATTGAATTATGCTGGCTGGAGAATTCTGGGAAATGAAGTCCACCCATCTCAAAGTTGCTGAGTTTGAAAACACTGCTATATGGTTCTTCACGCCAAGGCAAGATGAAGCCTCTTTGTTCCCCCCTCAATTACCACTCCCAACAATATCAAGAGATGCCGGGAGTTGTTTCAACTTACATCTGGGATCCAAGACACTGAAGAAAAAGTAGATGGAAATGAATGGACGGGTATTGGACCCTCAGCCTTTCCCCACCTCCCCTGCTCCTTCCGAAACCAAACCCGTGTTTACTGTGTTCACGGGAAGCCCGCCCCCCCACGTCCGGGCTATCCTCTAATTGCTCCCATTGATGTCCCCACACCCCGAATCTTTCCCGCTCTCCCCAATACCTCTGCATCCCACCCCTTTTTCCTTTCTCGCTCCTTGGACGGTTACCTGTTTCAATGAAAGCCGAGCGCCTCCTCCTCCTCTTCCCTCCACTGCTTCCCAACAGTCCCGTCCTACACAAGGGATGCTGCGAGGGTCCACCCGCCGTCAGTAGCCAATTAACGCACGCGCTCGCACCTGGCAGAAGCGCCGCCGGTTAGCCTGCTCGATTCCCTCTAGGCGCGTGAGATTCAGTACCTGAGGGAGCATGCGTGGAAACCCCCGTCCCAGCCAGGAAACTCTCCATAGGAGGGGGAGGGGAGTGGCGTTGTTGGACGGTTCCCATGGCGACACTGGGAAAGACGCCGCGTGGGAGAGAACCCGCTCCCCCCTTCATTTAAAACCACTGGAAGGTCATGATATCTGATACAGAAGGAATCGATTAAATATTTTACTGAGTTTATATATTCTTTTCTGTTTCTCCTTCCACGCGAAGCAGTTTAGCAAAGAAACGGAACAAGAAATTGGCTCACCAGCAAATTGCGTGGCTCAGCACAACAACATAGCTTGGAAAGGCCTTGTTATCCTTAGTAGATCCAAGAAAGATAACCAGGTTTCATATAAATGTAATGCAAAGCAGGTGGAAAATTAGATTCAGAATTCTTCCATCTCCTTATTGAAAAAATATGATATAGTATCAGACCCAATTTTTTTCAACAAGTATTCTCTATGCCATCTCTTCACTTAGAACAGTAAGACTGATTGTCCATTTGAAACTAAAGTGCAAATATTTCAAGCTTCAATAAAGTTAAACATAAGGGAAGAGACTCTTTTATTGTAATTTAAAAAAACCATAAAAATCAAGCCAAATATCTGTAAAGGAGTTCTCACTTTTAAAATTCTTGTCATTTTAGCCTTCATTTTCCAAGAAATCAAAAAAAGGGCATGTACACATATTAAACTGATATATTACTTTTTCTGTACTTTGCATATTGTTTTCCCAGCACTGGAACATGGGGGGTGGTGAGTATTTGGCATATATTGTTATATTTGTAACTAGTCAGTGAGATAAATAAAGCTAAAAATAAATGATTGGGCATCTATTAGTGAGCTTAATGATTAAAGCTGGCAGAATGAACCATTGTTTAATGATCCAATCCTGAACTACTTCATTCCTCCAAACCTTCCCCATTTCATTCCAAACCAAAAACAATATGGTTATTTTAATTAGTATAATTTACATTAGATAGTACAACAATCCTCTAACATGTAGGTTTAACTCTAATCAAATGTTGCTTCTATAAACAGTCAACAAAGTGCTTGAAATAAAATTTTATTGCAAGAACCAAAATTGGAGTATTTGCTTAAATAAAATCAACACAGAATGGACATGAATTCAGATCAATTAGATGCATCCTCTGTTCTCTTTATCGGGCATCAAATACAACTACTGTGACACAGTTAAGGAAATGACTGACTGGAAAATATGAAAAATGACAACTAATAAAAATTAGACAAATAATTTTATAATTTGCAATGTATAAATAAGAGTAGTTATCCCTTAGCTCATCTTCTGTCACATATATATTTTCTCATAGTTCACAAACTTATTCTTAACTGGAGGTCTATTCATGCATTCTTACTTATAATCCTTCCTATTGCTCATTTTCACTAAGAGATAAAACTGGCAAATCAAATATTTTCTAAATCAGATCTAAAAACTATTAAACTGATTTTGTCCATGTAACCTATCTCAAAAAAGTTTCTGAAAGTTTCCAGTACATGAGAAATACATAGGGCTTGGATGAGACAGTGGCCCAATGCTGTGAATTTGATTCCCCTGAAAGTATAAGTAGAAACTTCCTTCCTTACATTCTGCAATATTAAAATATTTTTATTCTATTGTATTTTTGAACAAAGCAATTGTTGAGATCTATTGTGTATGTATTTATTAAGTTTTTTTAATCTGTAGTTTCTATTTTCTACAAGAATCTCACAACTATGCTATCAACAATTATTATAAATAAATAAAAGCCCAAGTCAACATCTATTAGAATTTTCAGGCACTGTAAGGAAAAATGGGTGTCCTGCAAGTAAAAACTCCCTAACCAGACTGTTTTGAATGTACTCCTCTCTTAAGTGTCTGGAAGCCTGAAGAGAAATGGATTTAAAAATGTTATGAAAGGAAACATTAAATTGGGACAGCAAATGCTGGCACAATTAAATGTGACAGATGCTGCTTTCACTAGTCACACTTACAATGTCATTTGAGAAAATAGGTTACAAAGTATGTTATATACTTTAAGCTGTGGCAAGCCTGCTTTAAAGTATTTCTAAATCAGATTAAATATTTGCATATCTAATAGTGTAATAGTAAATTCTGGCATTTCATTTTATAGATAATCTTAAGGAGCTTTTAATACTATTCCAATTTTACAGTATGCTTCAACTAACTAATATACGGGTAATCCTTGACTTACAGCAGTTTATTTAGTGACTGTTTAAAGTTACAGCAGCACTGAAAAAAGTGATTTATGATTGTTTTTCACACTAATGGTCCCTGCAGCAATCCATGATTAAAGAATCAGAATTTGGATTCTTGGCAACTTACTTATATTTATGATGGTTGCACTGTCCCAGGGTCATGTTACCATCTTTTGTAAATTTCTGTGAATCAAAGTCAAGGGGGAAGCCAGACATTAACCCTAACAAATGTGTTACTGTTAGCAACTATAGTGAACTGTGGCAAGTAAGGTCATAAAATGGTGCAAAACTCATTTAACAACTTTTAGCAACAGAAATTTTGGGCACAATTGTGGTCTACCTGTATGGTATACCTGTATGAAATAAAACAGACTTGTTGGCAAATCACTGTGTAAGTGTAAAATGACATCACTGAATGAGATACTAGAAGAGATAAAAACACAAATTAAGATGGTCAAGTATAAGGATACATCTTTTTGTTCTTTTCTTATACATTATTCTGTAACCACACTCTCTGCATCTGATAGGATCTCTTGCTTTTATCTCATTTTCTTTGTGACAATCTGAAAACAATGACAATCAATAAGAGGTAAAATAAGTGATAAAATAAAAAATTAAATTAAGCATTAGGACAAACAAAACCACAGATTTTATTGGAAATAAGTAAATTTTGCTAACTAGCTTTTTGACTACTCTTCAGTGATATATAAAGAACTTCTCTCCCTAGTAAAAAATTTTTTTACTAGATTATCTCATATTCTTTTTCACAGAATAATTACAGGAAGCAAACCCATAGTAGCTATAACATCTAGTTTCTTTCCTCCTCCTTCAGAATGAAGAAAAACGACACTAGCATGGAGACTCCGGAAGTTTAACTAGTGATTTTTAACTAACACACATTCTATTTAAATCTATAGCACTGTTCAGGGTTATGCTTTAAAAAAATTAGGACTCAAATCAAAAGGAAAAATAACCGTAACATTGTTAATATGAAAGTCTTGTTAATAACCCCACCGCAACCCTATCCCTTAAACAGCTTTATTCTCTGTGTACTATGGCTTTACTTACCTCCACAGATGTATATCATTGGTTGCTGCTTTGGAGGGGGAGCATCTTCTTCCATATCCTGTTGAAAGCCGGCACGTTCCATATCCTGTTGTAAAAGAAAGCCAGCACGTTCAGGTTACATAATTTCCCTCCATAAATCAATCTCAGTTGAGCAAAATTAAAAAGAAAATGATACAAGAGAGCTCGTTAAGGTATTGGAAACAACGCAAATGCAAATTACTCCATCCCATGACTTACCGGTCGTAGCTTGATCTATGAGGTTTTACTCCGAGCGTCAAAAGGAAATGTGAATTGAGGAAAAATATTGGGAAGGAATAAAAAAAAACCGGACTAGACCTGCTCAAACGAAGTGGTTTCTTCAAAATAAACCTATAACGGCCTCTTTCCCTTACAGGATATATCTCACACGCACGACTCTGTGGCGCACGTTGATGACGTAATTAATTAAAACTCCGTCGCCTTTGTGAGAAAGCGATCTGAAGCTATAACGCAGGGGATTTCAATTACATAAATTGAGTTATTCTTGATGTAATTGTATAATGTTTTATGAATGTACATATATTACTAGTTTAATAAACGAGGGCGGGGAGAGATTTCTCTTTTTCAATATGCAACGAAAACAAAATGTTTAAGGAGGTCCTGAAAGGATTTTAGGGAGCTGGAAGATTCAGAATGTATTTAGAACAGCTTCTAATGCCAACGCCTATATCTGAATAGTATTTATTATAGCTACATGTTGGTTTCAAAACAAAGGATCTGAAGATCTACAAAATGCTTTCTCTCACTGCTAAATAAAAAATCTAGAATGGACAAGTCACATCAAGTCACAGCACTGGACTGAGAGCACATTCATTGAACACAATGGGACAAACTCATGAGTTTGAATGGCCATATTTGAAAATACTGTGATTAAATTCACATATTAAAAACTCTTTGTTTAACCAAAGTTTATTAAAAAATAGTTGGCCAGAGTTTATAAGCCACAATGACTAGGTTCACATTATTTAACCTAAACCAAATTGTGTAACATGGAAATTGTGCCTCTGTTGTTTATAAGGAAATTTCTTTTTTTCCTTTCAGATTAATACATAATCCTTCTGAATGCTGTACAAGCTCTGAAGAATACCACAAACGTATTTAGTAAATATCTGTAGTCCTGGGGTTCATAATGCCTAAATCCACCTACCATTCAGAGTAATAAGCATTCTATTCATAGAGGAAGGTGTTCTTATTGGTGTTTTTACATGACATTGAACTTTAGCTAACTACATTTTGGCCTAATAGGTTAGCAAACATACCCTTGTTCATTTATGATTCAATATGTTCTTGGCATTCAGAAAAGTGGGTGAATACACCATGAGTCAAGGGACTACAGTTAAGCGTGTATTGCGCATGCTAACGCATGCTACCTTTACAACCAGTCTGTACAATTAATCAATATAAATATTGATTAATTGTATTCATTCCCAGCGGGAGAAGGGAGACCGCATGGGAGTGTCTTAAGTGTCTTAAATAAAAGCCGTGTGACAAGACCTTTCATTCTCGTATCAATTTAACACATTGCGAATTCTTTTGGAACATTGTGAAACGAGGCCTTTTCCATACAGAGTGAATGAGAATTCCAATCGACTTCAGCGTGAATTGCGATGGCGAGGAACAGGGACTCCGCTTCCGTACTTAAACATAAACAGATTTTTATACACAGTATAAAAAACAAACATACAAACAAAACACAGAAAACGTCCTAACAGCAGCGGCTAAATAATGCATCCAGCAAAGCCCGGAGCAGAATTAAGGTAGAGATGGACTTGGGCGGAGATGGAGAGAGAAGTAAGACAGGGATGAAACCTGTCCAAAGGAAGCCAACCTTCATGCTGGTTTAACCGCCTTTCGCAAAAAGCCTCCCGCCGCAGTAGCTGCCTTGTTTTGCTCAGCCACTCAATCAGCCTCGTGCAGAAATAGTATATAGGGTTTCCTGCTTGTGCAGGGGGTTGGACTAGAAGACCTCCAAGGTCCCTTCCAAGTCTGTCATTCTGTTTAAAGCCCGCTCTTCCGCCTCCCTTTCGCCGAACCGCGACGCTCGTGCGCCTAAGGGTTATCCGAGCCTCCCTCCTTGGGAGCTGGCGGAGGGGGGGGAGCTACAACAGTTGGGAAAGGCGGGTAGTTCAAACCGGAGCGAGGGAAACCTCAGCTGATGCACGAGAGCAGCCGGCGGCTCCTTCCTCGACGGTCCCAGGCAGAGAGAGAAAGAGACAGACAAGAGACACAGCTGACCCGGCTCTGGGCTGCCAAAGAGCGCTCCTCTAAATCTCCGGGGCGGCGCTCGCATTGCTTCCCCCAGTCTCCCTGGCTCCCCGTTGATCACCGTCCTCCCTTCCGCTCCGCCTGCTTTCCTCGCTCACCTTGACCGGAGGGGGATTGGGGAGCTCTCTTTGCCCCTCACTCCCCGGGGAATAAATCCCGCGTCTCTTTCTGTCCCAGAGAAAATGGCAAGGGTGTAAATCCCCCCCCTCCCACCTGGGGTGCAAAGGGTGGTGGTGGTTGAGCAGACCTGGATTAGTTACCTGCCATTGAGGGCTTTAAGCATACTGCTGAGGGATACACTGGGGAAAAGGGTAGGGATTCCTCCTTCCCTTCCCCTGCCTTTCATCTCTCCTCCTCCTCCTCCATTCCGAATTAAATATGCAGAAAACTTCACCTGAAGGAACTTTTGCCTTTTAGACTGACTAGGTAAGTGAGGTCTGTTACCTGGTCTGGTGGAGGAAATTTCAAACACCCAAGACATGAAATTGGGAATGAAATTGACTTTATACACAAGGAAGGAGAGTGTAATTTAGGATTGTGGTGCTCTACACACTAATCTGGAACTTGAGGGGAAAATAAGGGTCTTACATCTGAGTAGACATGCTTAAGATGGCTGCTGTTAATGTATCTGAGGTAAAATGTTGCAGGTGAACATAGCTACGTCTGTATTAGAAATGTTCCTTATTCAACGGCTTATGAAAATATCCAGTGCAGGCAACATATATTAAATTAATTATTAATATTTAACTTGCCTTAAATATATTCCACAACTTCTACCCAGGATTGTAGGGGACGATATGTTTTCAGTAGTGTATGCCATTCCCTGCTAAACTTTATTACTGATAGCTGTTCATTTCATACTAGAACCGAAGTAGAATATTAATTCTCTCCATTTTCTAAGCAATTGCAAAAAGATCAAAGATGTCACAGTCCTCCCTTCATGATGATCATTTGTTGTGTTCTAATAGGAGACAGGTAGTCCTGAACCTATGACCACAATTGAATCTAAAATTTTATTTTGTGCAGTAATACAGTTAAGTGAATTTTGCCTCGCTCTACGACCTTTCTTGCAGTTGTTAAGTGAATCATGCAGGTGTTAAGTTAGTAATACGGTTGTTAAGTGAATCTAGCTTCCTCCATTGACTTTGCTTGTCTACTGTCAGAAGGTTGCACAAAGTGATCACATGACTCCAGGACACTGCAACCATCATAAATATGAACCAGTTGCCAAGCATCTGAATTTTGATCATGTGACCATGGGGATGCTGCAATGGTCATAAGTAAAAACCGGTCTTAAGTCACTTTTTTCAGTTCTAAAACTTTGAATAGTCACTAAATGAACAGTTGTAAATCGAGGACTACCTGTATATGCTGCTGAAGTACTGAAATATCTTTGTTATATTTTGTAAAATGTAAAATGTTTCTGTTTCTCAGCATCTTGGGTAATGCCTGTACAATTGTGGAATTTTTGTGTTACCCGCAGTCGCCTTGTGAATCCACCAGAGTAAGTACCAAATTTTTGATGATCCATGTGGATCTCCATCCATGCAGACAATGTCCAGAAACTAAACTCTTCAGTGATTCTGTCTGAATGCTGTATTACAAACCACTTTTAAAACTGAGTAGATTTTGAACTGTCATGTTAGTCATCTGTTTAAATAAACAATTCTATTAGATATGCCAACATTTGAGAGACTGAAAATCTTGATTTAAGATCAACAGCTTACATAAACCAATTGCTAAATGAAGTTTCCTGTTTTGAATGTACTATATTTATTTCCGAAAACAAAAACACGAATTTATAATTAAATAGTCCTCTTAGAATGGATGGATGGATTGAGAGAAAGAAAGAGATTGATGCTACAGAGTTATCATAGAATCTGAGAATTTGGAAGGGACCTCAAAGATAATCCAACCCTCTTTTTGAGATAGGCCTATCTATCCAGCCTTTGTTTGAAGACTACCTTTCAAAGCAACATATCACTTGAGGCAACTTATTCCACTGGCTGACAGCTCCTGTTGTTAAGCAATGCCTCTTAATAAATCTAATTCTTCTTTTCTATAATTGATTTTAGTTCTGTTCTCCAAGGCAACAGGGAACAACCTCCATTGTCTCTTTTGTACAACCATCTGAAGACTGCTATCAATTTTATTTCTGTCAATCTTGTCTTCTACAGGCTAAATAAGCATAGTTATTTTAACTGTTCCTCACAGTACTTGGTACCTTGTCTTATCACCATCTTGACAATCCTTCTCTCAACTCATTGTAGCTTGTCAATGTCCTTTTAAAAATAAAACTAGGTACAGTATTTAATATCAGCCCTGACCAAGACAGAATGGGGCAGTTATTTCCCATACTCAGGACTCTAAGCTTCTGTTATATCAGTTCTTCAGGGTAGACTAGATCTCGAAACACACTCTACATAAAGACTAGTCTTATACTTTATTGAAATATAAACAAAGGCAAATATACATGTCTCAGGGTGTTGCAGGATCCTATGTGTGTCAGTCACCAGTACCAGAAGTTTAGTCTTCTGAGCTTTTGGACTCATGCTGGAGCCCATCTTCAGGGAACTTCTGTCTCACCAGACTGTGTTTATTGAGATAGGCTATAATACAGGTAATCTTTGACTTACAACCATTTGTTTAATGACCATTTGAAAACAGCAACTTATTACCATTTTTCACACAACTGGTGTAGCATCCCCATGATCACATGATCAAAATTTGGATGCTTGGCAACTGGCATGCATTTATGACAGTTGCAATGTCCCGGGTTCATGTGATCATTTTTTGTGACTTTTTGACAAGCAAAGACAATGGGGAAGTCAGATTCATTTAACAAGCATATCATTAACTAAAAACTGCAGTGATTCACTTAACAACTGTGGCAAGAAAGGTTGTAAAATTGGCCAAAATTAACAACTGTCTTGCTTATTAATGAAAATTTTGGGCTTAACTTTGATCATAAGCCAAGGACTACCTGTATCTCCCATCCAGAACTTAAGGAATGTTTGTTTCTTTATCTATTAAGTTTCATCCTGTTCATTTCACTCCAATGTTCAAGCTTGTCTGAATATATTTGAATCTTCTCTTTATCCTCTGAAG